TCGCTCGATTCCATACATAGGAAGGGAAGGCTTCAAAATGCAGATTGAGGGAAGCCAAAATTTGGCCTCTAAATGAAAATTCCGCAATATGCAGCCTTGCAGGGAACATTGCCCTCAACAAATTACCGAACGAAAAGTAGGGAAGGTGTGATGAAAAGGAGTTGTTCTGTTATAAGCACAATTAGTACAATAGTACCAAAAACGTTGAACTATATTTAAACAGTCACACTGAATAAATCTAGCAATCCTACGGTAAGGAAAAAAAAACTTGCAAAAAAATCTCCACCTAGTAGTCCTTTCCATAAATTAGAAAACATGACTCCACAACTTGTCCTGCCATCAACGATAGAGGAGAAAAAATGCACCATCAGCAATGCCATCCTCCATCTTCCTCCGTTGACCAAGACTGCCACAGAGTTGACAGGCGTACTTGCGCGCAGTGTGCATCTCAAACCAATGCTGCACGAAGCTCTCCATTGTAAGAAAGGTCCGATCTTTGCAGGATCCTCTTGAACAAAGTAACACCTTGACCAGATTGAAGTGGAAACAGACGAATCGCAAGTGAAGGCGCAAACAAACCTCGGCCAGGGAAGCGGTCAAATCCGGGGGTGGCTATCCGAAAGGAAAGGAATAATGTTGCCAATAGTGGTAATGCAAAGGTCATGGGGCTTAGGTTGTGTCCAAAGCCTTAATTAAACCTCCACTATAAATGTACGAGTTGGCAGTAGTGCTGATGTGCATGCATGCAACCATGTAAGACGACGAATAGAAAACCACAAGATCTGCCAACATTTAATAATACAGAACAAGGCGTCCAGGTGCTGGAAATCTCTCAGACAGGAAGATTTGACCCTGTAGCTTGCGTAGGCTTTAAAAGTACTTCTACCGCCTTAATGCCACAATGCACATTTGCCTTCCAGTTGCATTGACAACCCATGACAAACATTATTGCAGAAGGACACATTTCACGCCATCTTTGCAGTAGACTCCAAAGCTAGAGCGCAATTAGAGGCGAAAAAAATTACAGCAAAAAAATAGTTCAAATGACGGCATAGCTAATTGAAAGGCACAATAAGAAACACCATTATGACACATGAGGAAAGTGATTGGCCTACATTATTTATCGTTGCCAGTACTAGAAAGTCAAAAATACTCCTGCTTTAATCCTAATAACTATGTTGAAATTCCTTTGAGAAAAAATGAAACAGTGAACTTACAGTGAATCCACACTGCGGACACATTAGATAAATGTCCAAATGTAGTAGAAGATGTGCCTTGATGGAGCACAGCACCATGTCTTTCCGGTTGTGCACCACCGAGAGGGCACAGAGTGCGCACTTTGCAGGAGAGACATCGGAATCACTTCCATTACCGTTGAGATGTGCCCTCAAGGCAGCAACACTGTTGGTGGAAAATTCACCACACAGCAAGCAGCGCAACACGCCTCGCCCCTCTCCTCTCCCAGTTCGGCATCCAGTGTCGGTTTGTGAGTCTCTCAGAAGGGCGTTGTAAGCCTGCTCAATTTGTTTTACACTGGCTGCGCATGGCAGTGACAAACCGGTATCCTGAACATCTAGTAAAACAAACGCACAACCGAAGGGGCTAGACAGACGGACGATTGGTGAGTTAATCTATGAATAAATGGGTAAGTCAGTGATACCTTTAAACGATGGATACCACCCAGTGAGGAAGAAGTATCCGTGCCAGATAGAAGCTTCAGCCAAGCGAAACAGGAGGTGGCAGATGGGCGAGGCAAGAGAACGGGGGAGACCATCCACCGAGAGATCGGTAGGTTGCGTTAGGGTAAGAGGAAATTGGGTCAAACTGGAGGTCATCAACCTGATGTCGGGCACGCCAAGGAACGTCTTCTCCTCCGCCCTGCCGCCTACTTCCCCAGCCAAAAAAGTGAACTCTCCAGCACGTAGCAGATTTCTACAAAAGCTAATCTTAATGACCACCTGTTGCAATTTGCAGCTAAAAGTAAACTTCTTTGAGGCAACAAACCACCACATAGACACTACATTCTGTGTAAATATTAAAAAGATGAAGAAGATCACAAGATCGTTCGGATTAATAAGTAATACACGACTCCACTCAAGATTCGGTAACGGAAGAAACATCACTTTAGCAATTATGAGACAGATTGAAATGGCACTTGTAGCCTAATCTCTTCCAAGTTTCAAATTAATAAACTTAACTGTTGTAGACCTAAAAGGACTGTCCATCCTCATTAAGGATTTCAAGTTCCTTTGTGGTTTCGCTTAAAGATGGATGATAATCTTCTGAACATGTTATGGGGAGAAGCGCAACTTAAATAGTCACATACCTCTTCTCCAAATTGCTGGAGGATAAAATAAAGCAACTTTTAACCATTTACCAATAAAAAGTGTAGTTATTAAAAAGTAGACTTCTTTGCCGCAATAAATCGAAGCTATTTCATCTTGTTCATCAACAAAAAACCTCCATTTTCGAGCTCTCCGTCCGGAGGAGCTGAAGAAAGCAATAAGTAAACACGAAAACACTATTCATAGGCAAAACTCACGTCAAGCGCCGATCAAGATCATTGCCGAGGTCAATAAGCTCCTGTCCATCAATGTAGGTAGTAGAAGGTAGCGAAGTTGCCAAAGGTGGTTGAATGGGAGCTGATCGTGAGGCTCCGTCCACGCTCTCGGCTTTAGCTTTACTATCAAACCAAGGAAGAGCATTGACAGTGAGGTGCGAAGGAATAAGTCGCCATGCTGCAACCGGCTCATTGGCGTGCCACTGTGCCATGTGTACATAGAGAGCGCAGAGGTTCGGAGCGGAGAGGTTACACGGAGAGGGCATCGCCAGGACAGGATCGCCAGAGCCACTAGGGGAGACGGTGGTGTGGGAGGAGAATGAAGGCCGCTGTAACACAGGTATTACTGTGGGTGTGTGCGCAGTGTCCGACTGTGTGGAGCAGAGGTGGCAACGGTAGAGCACTTGAGCCACTGGCCTGTTTATATGGTTGGCGTAGAGTGAAGCGCTGGAGAAAGTGCGATTGCAGTACAGGCAAACGTGATAGCCCTGTGGGTTCGGACATAACTACAGCAGAGAGAGGTACAAGTTTTTGGAGGTCGGTGGGCTTGCCAGCCAATGTTGTGTCTACTGCACTTACTGATGTTAGATTTCTTGACAATTTAGTTAAAGTTACAGCATGTAAAGAAATGCCGAAAATACTCCATTGCGTCTCAGACGCAGTGAATGAGTGGATATATTGGAGGCCAACTTGATCTCCTTCCCCTCTACCTCCTCCTT